TCTCTACAATGGCTTCAGGGACGTCAAAACAAGATATATCAACCAGGCAAATTCATTCTGTTACGTGTGTGGCGATTTCCCCATAATTGTACAACGCCGAACAATTACTCCCCTCCTGAGAACTGCTTACTTTCATTATTTTGACTGGAAAATTAGAGATCAGAACAAATCCTGGGCCCCACACATTTGTTATAGCCCCTGGCACAATGGACTAACTGCATGTTTTTTTTGGCAACAAAGCAACCTTCAATTTTGCTGTCCAGGTGAGCCATGAAGCCATGTCGATAATTGTTAGTTTTGTCAACTAAATACAGCTGATTTCAATAATTCTTCTAAAAAAAAACCCAAATATCTCAACTTTCCCTCAGTCATGAGACGTGTTCCACGCTCAGATGATCTCCGTCCCTGTACCCCTATTACATAAAGATCTTATTCCATCATCATCTGAAGAATTGCCTTCAGAGGAAAATTCTACCAAGTCGGTCTCTTCTGAAGTAAATGGTTCTTTTCACTGTACGGGGCCACGCAGGAAGGCCTGAAAGATTCTTACACATTATTTGTACCGATCTAAACAGCAGTCCTAGCATCCCGGTTTAAGCAGTTGAACCTGGTCACAGAAGATGGAAGGATCATCAGTTCCAGAATATGGAATAAGAACTTCACCTAATTCTAAAACAGATTTTGCTATTGTACACACGTCTATGTCTTGTTCAACTTACTTAGATTCCAACGCAATCCCTCAGATTGCTGTCTTTTCAGATTTTAATTCCAGACGAAGTCTGAAAACTGTGCTCCTGAACAATCGGAATAAGTACCCCAGAATTCTCATTTCCCACTCAGTCCATCTGACGAAGTCGTATGACAATATAGAACTCCTTGTTAAGTCTGTCAATTTCAAGAAGTACCAGTTGATAGAGTCTCTGTAAACACCTCAAGGTCATTGGGCGTGCAAGCGGGCTTAACGAAGTAATGGTGCTGCCTCTGTCTTCGGGACAGTCGGGCTGTGTTCAAGCGCTACAAGCAGAAGGGCTGAAGGTCTAAGAGTACGTTCGTCTCTGGTAAAAACAGTATCAAAATCCTCTGGTGGACATGAACAAGTTACGGCTATCTCCTCTTCATATCAACCTTGGTCTAATGAAGAATTTTGTGAAGGCCCTGAACAAAAATGGTACTTCCTTCCAACACCTATGCACTTTATTTCCGTCTCTCAGTTCTTAAGGAGGGCATCTTCAGTGGACCTCAAATCAGACAAATGCTGAAGGATAAATTATTTGAGGCGCTTCTTACCTTAAATGAACTGAGGGCATGGGAACCATATAAAAAAGTAAATAAATATCTCTATCTATAAAAGGCAGGATGTGTGTGTGTGTGTGTGTGTGTGTGTGTGTGTGTGTGTGTGTGTGTGTGTGTGTGTGTGTAACGAATGCACGGCCGCAATTTTCGAAGGATATGCACCAAAATTTACATGCACATGCTCCAAGTTAGCGGGAAGGCCAAGACCGACTTTGCATTTCCCAACTCCCATCGATACTAGAAATAATCGATTTTTTTCATGCTTCTACGGCAGTTTTCATGTAGTTTGCGGTCATTTTCTACTGGATAGAGTGAGAGCCTATAGCTGGCTGCCACGAATAGGCAGGAAGATTCTATTGGCCAGCGTAAGAGCCAACAGCTGACTCACACGAATATTAACTAGCATGCTAACATACAAAAAAAAATCGATAGCTGCATTCGTCACAAGTGGGAAAAATTTAAATCTGCATGGCACTTTACCCCAATTGGCTCATTCGCTTGCTTAAACTCAATGTTGATTCTGATTCCACAGAACTGGGTTGGGTGTGAATAAGTATTTGTTCTTAAGATTCGGTTTTTCCAGTTACGAGTCCTTTTTTAAAGCTGATCGTTTTGTGTTCATTTTGTTTAGTTTTTTTTTTTCTTAACAGATTTAATGTTTAGTATAGAGCTTAGAAAAAATTCGTAGTGTGAGATAGGTAAGAAGTAAGGCATGTAGCAACATCAGCACGGCAAAGGGCTCTTCTTTAAAGGCCAGGAAGGGCAAAAATATATTAAGTCAAGTGATAGCGATTGCTCTATGAGTCGTACGATTTTTGAATCAAGCACGGGCAACGCCGGGCCATGCTGCTAGTATACAAATAAGAAAAAGTTTTCAACAACGATAACAGCGATGACTTTCGTTTATTAAATTATATAATTTACATTATAAAAATATATCTGTAAAAAGACAATATAAATAGAAACGAAAAGAAGACTATTTTCTACTAGTTTTTCTTTCAAATATCTACTTTCGTAAAAGAAATACTCTTTTCCCAAATATCTCCTTTCGTAAAAAAAATACTCTTTTCCCAAATATCTTCTTTCGTAAAAGAAATACTCTTTTCCCAAATATCCCCTTTCGTAAAAAAATACTCTTTTCCCAAATATCCCCTTTCGTAAAAGAAATACTCTTTTCCCAAATATCTCCTTTCGTAAAAGAAATACTCTTTTCCCAAATATCCCCTTTCGTAAAAGAAATACTCTTTTCCTAAAAGATGTGCTCCTTTCCGAAGCCAACATACATGACCATAAAAATGTTTAAAAATAAGAAGACGGTTAAATCAAAGCATTCCGTTATTCCAAATAAATAAATACATAAAATTAAAATAATTAAAATAAAATAAGAAATAATAATTTCATTAATAATATAAAAGTGAATAAATATATACAAACAAATCAGAAAAAGATAACAACGATAACAGCGATGACTTTCGTTTATTAGGCATTAAATTATATCACTTAGCATCTGCCATAGTTTACCTTGATGTTCACATTTAGCCTTATATATTATATATATATGTCATTCGCAGACAGTACTGTTTCGCGGTATCACAGCCCCTTAGTGCGACTAGACATCCGAATGCCTCAAGTGAGGACAGAAACCCGACCGAGTTTGTATGTCAGAGTACAGGGTGGTTGGAAAGTAACTACCTATTTTATGTATGATTAACTCTCCTGATTGTAAAAATTATAGAGTACATCTTATATTTAATAGGGAATGACTTTTCAGTCACCCTGTATATTGAAAATATGGATGAAATTCTACAGAATGATCAAATGAGAAACAAATATAAAAATATTTAAAAGATTCTAACGTTTATTTAACTTTATCACTTCCAAAAACTAAGCTAAATAAACAATGTGAATCATGTTAAATTGGTAATAAAATGTCCTACTTGTTTGTAAATTTAACATATATGTGTGTGTGTGTGTGTGTGTGTGTTTGTGTGTGTGTGTGTGTGTGTGTGTGTGTGTGTGTGTGTGTGTGTGTGTGTGTGCACAGTGTCTAAATGTTCAAGTGTCTGTAATCACGACTATGAATTTATAAGGCTTGATCCAGTTTAGTTTTTTCTTAATTCTCATAATTCAATTTCACCTTTACTTCAACACAGACACACGCCTACGCACACACACACACACAGATATATATATATATATATATATATATATATATATATATATATATATATATATATATACCTCATTAGCAACTAATCTGCATTGCCTAAAGTTATATATATATATATATATATATATATATATATATATATATATATATATATATATATATATATATGTGTCCCCCATCACCAATCCGTACACTTACGTACCGATCTGTATATGTCTGTATTTAAAAAAAAAAAAAACACTTGCAGCTAGCATTATAAGAAAAGCAATCGATTCGATAAGCAGGTGGTCTTGGTCGAGCCAGGACGCAGCAGGTTAGCACAAAGGCCAGGGATTTCAACTCACCTGAGGTTAGCATTATCTCATAAGGTAAGCTATAATTTCGTATGAATCTAGGCTTAATTGAAAGACATCTTGGAACAGGGAAACCAAAATGGACGTCCTGGGGGGGGGGGCGGGCGGGCCGATTGTATCAGAGCGCATTCTGGCGGCGATTGCAGTAACTAGAGGGATGCTAATCGAATCTTGCAAATCACCTTGCAGGGAGACTTCAAATCCCACGTTCTTTTCGGTAAATCATGAATATTTCTGCCTGTAGTACAAAAGAAGTTAAATGATTCAGACCGAGATTTCTAAGAAACTTTTCATGAATCTCTTTTCTTGGTATTTTGAAAAATAAGTCGACCAGCCTTTTTCAAATACTAACATTAATCAACAGCCAAGGATTTAGACTGCTAACTGATGTTATAACGGCTTATGGGGCTGCATATTCTTTTATCTTAGGTCAGAATACTTAAAGTAAAGGCAGGTAGGTATATTACACAAATTCCTACCAATAATATATATTTTGATATTTATTCTTGGTACAGGAGATTTTATAAGCAAGTCAACACACCCTTTACTTGAGCCATAAAATGTTTTTCTCAGACCTCAACTCGTAAGAAAGTAAAATAACTGGAATTAAAAATAATAATAATAATAATAATAATAATAATAATAATAATAATAATAAAATCTCGAAAATGTGACATATGCGAACATCAACAATCCCTGTTGTAGTTGGAGCCCTAGGACTAGTTGGAAAAGATTGCAGTAGACTAATTGAAGGAATTCCTGGAAGTCCATGCCTCAAGGAGATACAAAAAATTTTCTGACAAGTACAGCCCGCACTTTACGAAGGGCTTTATCTAGGTAATTTTTTTTTTTTTTTGTCAGTGGAAATTGTCATGATGCCATTTCTAACCTTAGGTCCCTGGGCGAGACCCGGGAAGAAATGTGTAAACGCCAGAAATCAAAGAAAATAAAAATAATAATAATAATAATAGTTAAAATCTCTTTGGTTAAAACGTTTAAAACGAACTTCATGGTAACGATGTTCCCAGGATGGAGGATACAAAATCAAGCCTTAGAAGTAAAAGATATTGCGTTCAGTGTATTAACGGCCGCAGAGTTTATCGACCTAGAAAGCTGTAATAAAAATTAGATGAAAGAAAAACTAGTCGAAAATTAATAATGTCGAGGCGTAAAGTTTTGGCTGAATGATTCGACATGCCATGAATTGGTACGTCATATTTAAGTTTCATTTTAACATTTTCCTATTTGATATTCTTTCTGTTTTTCTTTCTATCTATCTCTCTCTCTCTCTTTCTCTCTCTCTCTCTCTCTCTCTGTCTTTCTGTCTCCCTCTCTCTGTCTCTCTCTCTCTCTGCCTCACACTCTGTCTCTCTCTCTCTTTCTCTCTCTTTGTCTCTGTCTGTCTGTCTCACACTCTGTCTCTCTTGCAATCTCTCTATCTGTCTCTCTGTCTCAATCTGTCTATCTCCGTCTCTCGCTCTCTCTGTCTCTCCCTCTTACACACACACTTTCTTTTACCCAATTTTTTTTCGTTTTCTTTCTCACGCGTTTTCTGTCACCTTTTCTTTTTCTGAAAATCTTTAGTCATTCTCGCTTCCCCTCGCTCTCTCTCTCTCTCTCTCTTTCTCGCTTGCTCACTTCATCTCCACCCCTCCGTTTCACTCTCTCTCTCTCTCTCTCTCTCTCTCACTCACTCTCTCGTCTGACTTCTCTGATAAATTGTACTATTTTCTTCTGTTTACACCAATTACCCTCAACTACTGCGCTCTCTCTCTCTCTCTTTTCTCTTTCTTATGCTTCTTCTCTTTTTGACTCCTTCCTTTCCTTGCCACACCCTCTATTCCCCCCTCTCACTCTCTCTCTCTCCCTGTCTTTTCTTTTCTCTTTCTTATGCTTCTCTTTTTGACTCCTTCCTTTCCTTGCCACCCCCTCTATTGCTCTCTCTCTCTCTGTCTTTTCTTTTATCTTTATTATGCTTCTCTTTTTGACTCCTTCCTTTCCTTTCCATTTTTTTTATTCTCTAAATTCTCTCTCTCTCTCTATTTTCTCTTTCTTATGCTTCTTTGCATTTTTGATTCCGCCCTTTCCCTGCCACCCCAATTTAGATAAATATATAAATTTTTCTCTTTCTTATGCTTCTTCTCTTTTTGACTCCTTCCTTTCCCTGCCACCCCTTTACTCTTTCTCTCTCTCTCTCTTTTCTCTTTCTTATGCGTCTTCTCTTTTTGACTCCTTCCTTTCTTTGCCACCCCCTCTATTGCGCTCTCTCTCTCTCTCTCTCTCTTTCCTCTTTCTTATGCTTCTTCTCTTTTTGACTCATTACTTTCTTTATCACCTCCCTTGATTCTCTTACACCATTTCAAGCAATACTAAAATAGAGGAAGTATTCAAAATTATCGATCGATATTCTTTCTCCATCTGTCCATATAACTTAAGCTTATTCATATCTATCATGCTAATCTCAATCTCAATTTATTATCTATTTCAGCCATCCCATATCTATCGATCTATCTATCGATCTATTGACCCATCAAGCTATCTATGTGTAGTCATATCTTGGTCTCTTTCTGTCGGTATATCTGTGTTTACCTATACGTACTATCACAGTCACTTTATATAGAGACAGAAATATTTTATTCTTCATCAAGCAGTTTTATAAGCATGGGCTCGCTCTAATCTTATTTGTTTTATCATTATCACTCTCTTTAAATCTCTCTCTCTCTCTCTCTCTTAATATATATATATATATATATAGATAGATAGATAGATAGATAGATAGATAGATAGATAATATTAGTGGTCAATAGAGCAAGAATATAATATAAAAGACTCAAACACTAATATTCTGTGGTTGAGCTTTTATATTATATATATATATATATATATATATATATATATATATATATATATATATATATATAAATGAGAATAAATCCTAACGAGCCAGGCAAATTTTACCTAGGTATATATATATATATATATATATATATATATATATATATATATATATATATATATATGTATATACTATTCTTAAAAGAGTGCTCAATACAGAGTAAAAGCAAATATAATTAATTATGAATTATATAGTATAATTTGATATTAATAAGTTAGAATGATTTCTATTTTAGTCTAACCCCTAACATTAAAGCATTAAATAATTATTATAACCAAAGTTCGTTGTCAAGTTTTTGGAATTCTCATATTCTTATATTTTGATTGGTCATTCCAGCTTATGTAACAGCGTTTCCCCTAGTGCAGGGGTTCTTTGATTGATTTGAACGTTTTAAAACCCTTTATTCTACATTCAACACCATCACTTGAGAAGACACCAGAAGTGTTAAAACAAAATGGCTATTTTGTAATGATTTTATAACATATTTATGTTATAATTTTCGAATATATATATATATATATATATATATATATATATATATATATATATATATATATATATATATTATTTTGTGTATAGGGGCAGATCATTATTCAGACATCTATTGTTAAGTATAACAAACAACGGATATCTATCATGTTATATCAGGAGCCGTTCCATCACAATAAAGAAATATCCAAACGTTGGAGAGTTTTTGTCTCCTGAAATTAAAGCCAACATACGAAGCTTGGAACGGCTCCTGATAAAACATCATAGTTGTCTGTTATATTTAACAATACATGTCTGATATATATATATATATATATATATATATATATATATATATATATATATATATTGCTTGAGGCAATAGGATTTCTAGACACACTGATGAGCTGTGATACAGCGAAAGTCTGTGGATGACAATATATATATATATATATATATATGTGTGTGTGTGTGTGTGTGTGTGTGTGTGTGTGTGTGTGTGTGTGTTGTGTGAATATGTCTGCACTCACAGGTAGAATACGGCAAATATCACGTTGAAAGATCGATACAGGTATGATCACCGATGTTAAGCAACGTCGAGCCTAGTCAGTGCCTAGATGGGTGACCGCTTACGAATCCCAGGCACTGTAAGCTTGGATGTGTGAGTGGTCTAATAGATAACAGCTCGAAATTGTTAATCGGAGAGCCGAGTTCCAATTTCAGTTAGGGTCATTGCATTCACTTACGCGCAAATACTCTTGGCAAAGGCATAAATCCAACACTTCTCCCCCAGCTATGGGTTGATTAATAAGACTTGTATCACTAAACCATTATTATCTCCCCACCCACCCATCTTGCAATCTAAAAATGTTTTAACCTGCAAAGGATAGATAAGCTGTAGAAAATTAATCCATCGCACAAACAGAGGTCAACACCGCGCGGTGATTCTCCATGTTCAGGTCATGGAGATCGCGTTCAATCTTGCGATGACCTGAAGATTGCACATGAAACAGACTGTCGCCACTTGTTGATCTTAATCCCCACGCTTACATATACATAAGTTCTCTCCTTGATACTGAGCACTTTTACTTATAAATATAACATACTTTAAAATATATTTTTTCAATAATATATATATATATATATATATATATATATATATATATATATCGAATCTCACCATGGTCGATTTTGTGGAAGGCGGCTTTCTGATGTTATTGGACTGGATCGAGGTCGATCCCAGCGTGCGGCACCTTTGGAAAGTGGCTGAAAACCAAGCCACGGGCTGACACAAGCCTTGTGAGTGGAATTGGGTAGACGGAACTCTTGAGGGCCGTCGATAGCCAACAAGTCATCGTGCCCGAGGGCTTGAGTGTGCTGACCTTGTTCAATTGTTGATCACGTTAAATAACACGAAACTTTGTGGCCGAGTCGATTAAGGCACGTCAGCGTAAATGACGGTTCCGTATAGGATGCAGGTTCGAATCCTGTCAAAGGACGAATATTTTCTATGCAAATTTCTCGGACATTCAGGCCGGTAAATGTTATTTAATACTGTTTATTATAAACAGAGCATTTACTTAAATACTTGTATCTATAAAAAGAATGTTAAACATAAAAATGTCTTTAAGTAATTGTCGGACATTGTCTCATTCTTAATATATATATATATATATATATATATATATATATATACCGTGCGATGATAGCCTAGGGTAGGATCTCTGACTGATGTAAAATCGGTCGGGTTTCCATCCCGGCTTAAAGCAACAGGACGTCTAGCCACAACGAAGAGCTATGATACAGCGAAACACTCTGTCTGTGGATGCCATATATATATATATATATATATATATATATATATAGTAAAGGTAATATAATCCAAGTGGATCCTACTAATATAAAATATTAAAACTGATCCACAAAATGAGCTCAAGGTATTTATTGTTATAGAGTTAAAATTAATACATAATAAAATCCCAAATAACCTCATGATGTGATTTTGGATTTTATTTTGTATATATATATATATATATATATATATATATGATTTTTTTTTTATTAGTAACTCGTAACTCTCTGTCTGTCTGTCGGTCTGTCTCTCTGTCTTCCTGTTACGTTTAATTCTTTTTGGCTTCCAAATATAATAAAAGAATTTATCAATCTATCTAATGCTTTAAAAATATATCACTCTACCACAAATCCACGCACATATATATATACGTAATACATAATTTCATATATATATATATATATATATATATATATATGAAATGATGTACTTAAACGGGCGCCTACACACACGCGCAGGCGCATACATTTATGCATGCGACCCTGTCGCCGGCAGCATGTTCCTCGGCAGTAGTAGTGTGGCGTGCGGCAAATGTTGCCCGCAGCGCCCTCTGTCGACATATGCCCACACAATTAAGCAAAATGATTGATTAGTTTCACGCGGGGCAACAACGGCTCAGACATTGACACCTTTCGCCGCGAGACTCTTTCAGTCTTCACCCAGAAGCGGCAGCCGGGACCCTCATCTCTCCGACACAAGCATCTTATTAACACTTGTAATGTGAAGAAGAATTTCGTCCGTGGCATCACCTCGTCTGGCGTTGATTGAACGTCTAATTACTTAATTGTTTGATTAGATGAGGGGTAGGGAAGCGGGCGGTGGAGTAGTAAGCGTCGGGAGAAGGAGCAAGTCAGAGAGTAAGAAGGATGAGGGAATACGTGGTATACTGAGAGTTGGAGGAGTGTAAAAAATAAAATTAAAGTATTTTTTCCTTTAAATAACAAACCTAAGAATATAAATAAATATATTCTCCGAATGAAGCATTTTTCATTTCTAAGAAATATGAAAAACTTGTGATTATCATGTTTATTATTATGTGGTGTAAACAAACAATATAGCGCAAAAATATGCTGGGAATGGATGTTGCAATGTGAATCAATAAAAAGGTGGCTATCCAGTCGAATATGATCTCAAGAATACGCGTTTCGGGCCCGTTGAATGTTAAATTTTCATTTCAGGTCAATGTTACTGACCTAAGTGTCGTTGAAAGGTAAAACAATCTGTAAGTGGCGATAAAAGCAATCAAAATAAAATAAAAGAGGCACTAGGCTAAAATGAATAATAATAATAACAATAATAATGCATAAGAATACTACAGGCGCGTGCGTCTAGTGATAAATTAGTCAGACAATTATCTGCCGTGCGTAATACACGATTAGGCGATCATGTATTATGATACATGACTGACCAGGCAGATTTTTTTTCCCAGCAGTAGGTTGCCATTTCTTTCTGCGGTAGACCAGTTGACATCCAAGGCTATATAATACATCGCTATTTACCCATAGCTGGTTGAAGAGAAGAAGATTCATACATTTCCCAAGGGCATTAGTACGTAAGTGAATTTAATGAATTCGACAGGATTTCGAACTCGGTTCTCCGATTCCTCAATCCGAGCCGCTACCCATTACTCCACCGTGCCTCCTTCTAGTGTTAAATATAGAGTTGAATTCACGAAACAAAATATCAGCCA